TTATCTGGTATTGCCATGGGAAAATGGCGTGGCAGTAAACTGCAACCAAGACGAGAAGGCCCATATAAAATTCTCACTAAATTATCATCTGTTACCTATGAATTAGAACATATTATATCTCGTCAACGTTTATCACCAATACACATAGAACGACTTACTCCTTTTTATTCGTTTACAACCATCTCTTAATTATATTATTCACAACAAGTTTTTTTCTATTTATACTTCTTTATTTGTTTGTTTATTGTTGCAACTCTCGATATAATGTAAATTGATCGATTTGTCGTCATTCTCTTATTGGCGAATATCTGTAGCCATCATTTTTTTTTAATTTACATGACAATTACTTGAATTTATCGCTCTGAATCGTTCGTAAACTTCAATCAATATTTGTACTTATACTGTGTTGATCGTTTTCTTCTATCGCATAATTACATCATATTCGACTTTATCATTACATACTACTTAACTCAAATGATTCTTCGAATTATGAAATATTCTCTTCTGTCAATTAAAAAAACAAAAAAAACGAAAAACCAATTACCCACACGAACAAAAATGACCAAAACTAATTAATATATAATTCTAGAACAGTCGCAGGAGCTCTAGATTTTTTTTCTGTGGTGGAAGAGCCCTGTAACGGCATTTTATGTCGTTACCTGTATATTATGATCTGCTCATTTTCTATTTGTTTCCTTTCGCGCTTTATTCTTCTCTCTCTCTCTTATTCTATTGTTTTTCGCGCTCGTTACTTGATTATCATTATGATCATTGTTCTTCTCATGATATAAAAAGGAGAGTTGTATTATTTTATCGATATTGTTTCTCTGGCATTGAGCTTGCCGCACATCGACGCATCTCAAGGGGGTCCAAAATTTTCTACTCTATACACTTCAACATTCATTTTAGATCGTGTTTCACAATTGAGAGAAAGTTATCCTTAAAAGAATCATTAATATTTCAGAAAGGATAGATATTCATTGCATATATCTCTAACATAAAATGGTTTTGAAAAGCTTGAATCATTTTATATGATTTCGTTCTGCGTCCTATAGTCTAATACGTGAGGCACTAATTATTTGTCAAATGGTAAGAAAGATGTTTCATTGATATTTTATTTTATTTTATTTTTCACAATTTTCTTGAATAAAAAGCATAAATATTGAAAATCAAATGTAAGCAGTACTACTGAATAGAAAGCATGAATATTCAGAGTCAAATGCAAGCAGTAAAAGCAAATAAGATCGAAAATTCTAAAAAGGTCTCATTTGCATGACATGATACTGTGGATTGAGCCTGCTCAGGATATCCTGTGTCCTCGCTCTCCTCGCATCAAGCAATTGTTGTCGTCCTTTTGCAACAGCTATTGCCAATTGTTCAATTTGTTGCCGATAAAAAGTGAGATTTTTTTCTTCCTTTTCTTTTACTTGTTCTGCATCTTTCAATGAATAACCAGTTAGAGGATCATATTGTAGATCTGGAAATCTTTTACATACTTCTATTGCACGTTTAGCCAATAATATATAATTTTTAAATTTTAATAATGGAGCTGGAGCAATTTTGAATGCATGATTAGGATGTAATTGACTTGCATTTTGATAACATGATTCACATAAATCATAACCTTCACGGCATTCATCACAATGATATCTAATACCTTTAAATTTTTCTGCTTTACAACCATTACATGTTGTAATATAATGTATCAGCATACTTTCATCCACTGAATAATTGCCTTTGTTAAATGAATGTTGTGGTGCATGTTCAGTTTTCATCAAATTTACACATTTCATACAAACACCAAAACCATTTGGACATTGTTGACACGAATAAAATCGATCTTGACTTGGATATAGTAGATTTAGACAATGTTCACAATAAGTCGTTAGTTCGGTAAGAAACTTCTATGATTCAAAAATTGGCGTTGTCTTTTGAAAAGAAAAAAATTCGTGTTAAATATTTTATTTCGTTAACTCCGTATAAAGAATTTGCATTGTGAACATTTTTAAAGAAATAATAAGTTTTAATTTTTTTAACATTAGATAACTGAATTAAATATCTAACATCTTTCAGAAATATTTTGATATAAATATTTTTTTTTGTGTGAAATTTTGAATAAATTTAATTTATGTTAACAACCCGGATTTTTCTAAGAAAAGGAAATAATAAAATATAAATAAATGCGAAAACCTCGGATTTAAATCCGAGTGTTATGTGTACTTCAAAAAGTGAAAAGGTATATTCACTGTGTTTTTTATCACTAAATTGCAAGGAGAAAATACAGACGTGCTAAG